CAAGGCTGTTCACAATCTCCACTCCACTTTAACATAGTGCTTGAAACTCTTGGAAGAGCAATAAGACAATAGAAAGAAATTAAAGGAGTAATAATTTGAAAAAAAGAGACCAATTTATTCCTTTTTTAGATGATATATCTAAGAGACCACCAAATATCCACTAGAAAACTGCTAGAAATTATTAACACGTTCAGTAAAGTGGCAAGTTACAAACTAATCTACAAAAGTCTGAAACCTTTCTATATACCAATAACAAGCAACCAGAGAAAGAGTACATGGAAACAATCCCCTTCACAATAGCTGCAAAAAAGAAAATAAAATAAAATACCTCAGAATAAACCTGAGCAAAGACTAAGACCTTGACAATGAAAATTTTACATCCTTAAAGACATCAGAAGATGGAAGCACCTCCCATGCTCATGGATTGGAAGAATTAATATTGTGAAAATGGCCATCCTACCAAAAGCCATTTATAGAATCAATTCAATGCCAATCAAAATCCCCATGACATTTTTCACAGAATTGGAAAAAAAACATCCTAAGAGTCATATGGAAACACAAAAGGCTTTGGAGAGCCAAAGCATCCTTGAGCACTAAGAGCAATGCTGGAAGGATTACTATACCAGATATTAAACTGTATTACAGAGCTATAGTCATTAAAAACAACATGGTACTGGCACAAAAATAGACCCATATACCAAGGGAACAAAATTGAAGACCCAAATATGAGTACCTTCAATTTCAGCCACCTGATATTTGAAAAGGAGGCCAAGAACATTAACTGGAGGAAAGACACCATGTTCAGCAAATGGTGCTGGCAAAACTGGATCTCCACTGGTAGAATAATGAAACCAAACCCCTATGTTTCACCTTGCACAAAAGCCAACTCCAAATGGATCAAAGACTTCAATGTGAAGCCTGAAACTCTGAAACTATTAGAAGAAAACATTGGCAATAACCTACAAGATATAGGTGTAAGGAAAGGATTTTCTAAACCAGACATCAACTGCCCAGGAAACAAGGTCAAGAATCAACAAATGGGGCCTCATTTA